CCATTCATTTTCCAATTTCCATCATGAAGTTCGCACTCCTTCTCGCTTTCACCGTGGCCGTTGCTGCCTTGGCTCAAGACCAAGTTGTCCGCGGCGACGAGGCCCCCGCTTTCGAAATGTCGGGGGTGTTTTGTCTCCCGCTTCTTCTTGGCTTTCGGCCACGGGACCTTCGTCAAGGCAGCAAATATACACACACTGACATGAGTGAGGTTAAACACGCCACGAGGCGTCTAATGACTACCATTCACAAAAGTACTCAGTACCTCCACTAAGGTATCGGAACCTTTGACACGCCACACACAGAGTGTGTGTGTTTGCAATGGGTCAAACTAACGCGCGACCCAATTGCTCTGCACGCTGCAGAACACTTCCCCTCTAACGGAAAGTCCAGTGTCTTGATGAGGGCGGCCACGACAGGGTCTTCCTTGTTCGACGCCGCCCACTTGCGAAATACGACTGGAATGTCGTCAAGCAAATTCGCCGTAGGTCCCCAGGACGATTCTTCATCGTCGAGTCCAAGCCACTTCACCAAAACTTGGTGTTGGCCATCCACGCAGCGCGCTTCGTCCAGGCGCTCCACATGAAATTCGCCATCGCCAAACGCGATCTGCGCCTCGAAGTCTTCGGTCACCTCTCTACCACCTACGTGGTACATCTTCAATCGGCATGCACGGTCTATCATGCATGATGGACCGTGACTTCTTACGGTGGCACCAGTTGTGAGTCTCCATCACATGGTCTGTGATGACTCGGGTCACTTGGCAGGGTCCTCGCCAATGCAGGGCCAATTTTGTCGGACGGTTGACGACCAAAGCACAAAATCGCCGACCGAAAAACCCACAAACTTGACTTGGGATTTTCGGTCGCGGCGTCCACGCGCTTGCTGACGCAACTTGTCGCTTCGCACCGCCACGTTGTGGTGCATTTCTTCTAGCGCCACTTGGAAGTCCGTCACATGTTTCTGACGGGCGGCGCCAAGCCAGTCCGCGACGTAAACTTCCTTGGACGTCGGGTGGACAAATCCTGCCAGCGGGGTCTTGGCTGGTAGGCCGGTAAACGCTGTCACAGGCGCAATTCCTCCCAGCCGGTCCGCCGGCTGATGGTTGAGGGCGCCTTGAACGAGGAGCAACACATGCGGCCACTCATATTCACGAGCACGAGCATCAGACTCCATTTTGAGAAAAATTGACATAAAAGGATCCGATGACGGTGCGCTTTCAGACGCAGCGGCGAGCTTAGCTAAATAAAGAACATTATTAGGAAAATAATCCGGACAAAAAAAGTGAAATTGAAATAAAGTGATTTGAAAAAGGAACAAGATGCACGAATTCATACCGATGGAGTTGTCTAACGAAGAGCGACGCTGAGCAGCCATGGACAGCATGGGCTTGTTCTTCTCTTGTTTTACAACCGTCAATAACCCGGCTGCGTCCGTGCCGATCCGAGAGGAAACCACAAGCTCCTCAACAGCCTCCGAGACTTCCTGCGGGATGTTGCCGTCGGACCCAGCATCTGAGCGCTCACTTGCAGCGTCGCCAAATTCTTGTTGGTCGTGAAGCTCCATCGCACCCACCTTGGACTCAATGTTGGGAGGGCAGTACGCTGTCCCTGTTGGTTTCGTCTTGTTGTTCAAGCCTTGAAAGCGGTGCCTCAGACTGATACCATCGCGCTCTGGCCAGTTTGATTGCCCAGTAAGGTTGATTCGAACGCCACATGGTCCCACATGGAGGATAAAATATTGCCACATAAGAATTGCTGAGGACCACAGAGGAATTGCTGAGAACCACATAAGAATTGCTGTATCGCACATGCTTGTGCTGAAGAACACATGAGATTTGCTAAATTGAATATAGAGTATGTTACACAACGAGATCCACTACGGCAGGCAGTGCGTTATGAGAATTACTGGACATATGTGACTAGGAGCAATGTGATTGGTTATTAAACTCACATTTCAATGTGATTGGCTATTGTAAATGAATTCAGAGCATGTGATTGGCTATTTCTCACTAAATTTTGTGATTTCAGGAGTGGGAGTACGTAACTGTAGCTACTAAAATTAGATCTGTTCAGTATTGAGTACTCATTGAGCTGTTTGTTCGCTGTTACTCCTCCGGGGGGGGGTGGTCAAATAGTCAAGAATTTGCTAACTTCGTTTATACTTGGCGCGCGTGGAACATCATTATGGGCCACTGCCCTTTATGTATGGACAAGTTCAAAAGCATCTAATCTTGACTAAGGTGGGAATTATCTCACCCGACTACTCCAGGCATTAACATGGTGGCTCTGAGTACCATAATTTATCTGCACTCTATACACAATTCTACTCTAATTCAGCTTATCTAATATAATATCACACCAATGTTCTGTACACAATGGAGTCCCAAAGTATTGTACTTGCAAATAGTATGCTGCACTAATACGAAATATACAAAATGTATTATCGACCAAATTAGCTAACCAACAAACATGATATATCAGGCAACGTGCAAACGACGGCAACGGCCGCGAACCTGATAATGGTGCTGGTCTTCAGCATCTGCACGTCTCGTACGGATTGACAGTCGCCGTGGCGGTGTACTCATCCCTGAAAGTTTGATCCCGACTTCGTTGGATACGGCCAGCACATGGCTGCAAATGGCGCCACGAATCCAAAGCAGACAATCGCACCGCAAGGCAGTTGGGTCTTGGGTTCGAACAACGATCCATCCACTCGCAGGTTGTTCGTGCAATTCAAACAGAGCAAGGTTCCTTGAAAGCGGCGCCCGGCCAGGAGGAAGGGGTAGGTGC